TCTGGGAGCTGCTTTTTTTTCTCCTCCCCTCTCCTCTTGTTCCTCCCCCTTTCCTCCCCTCTCCCCCTTTTTAAAGTAAATTTCGTTGTACTTGTGACAATGACAATAAAGCCATTCATTCATTCATTCATATATATATATATTTGACTATTTGTTCCTCAAAAGAGAGGAGATTCAACTGATCAAACGTGAGTTGACTCAAGTTCCTCTTGATTAACTTTTCGGGGGCAGCCCTAAATAAATTCACATTGTACAGGATCCTAACAATAACTCAATACAGCTACAATACAATTGCAATAACACCACATGGTACAGGATCTCCATGTGAGTCATGTGTTTCTGAAGCACTGGACCTTAAAACAACAACAACAGGTCCATGACAGGTGACAGTGATTTGCTTCACAATGCTTTTAGGCATGTAAGCTGACCTTGATGTCATAGACCTTGGAGATTTTGTTGTTTTTTTTTTTGTCTTTTAGAAAACCTCAAAGGTGTATTTCATTTTGTTTGGATAACCTAGCTCCAAACCATAGATGAGGCCCATTATGTAGATACAAGTATGTGCCGCATTGGCTATACAAAGGACCTGTGCTCCGTCAGTGGCTATTTCTGCTTGCCTGAAGATTTTAATTCCACAAAGCACTCAGCTATACTAGATTGCACAACCTTGTCTCATACAGGCAGGGGTTTGAATCTGCAATGGCAGAGGTATATTTTCTTTACCTGTTAGTCCTTGATTAACTCCTCCTTCACCAAGGTAGATAATGAGGCCTCTGATCACAGCTTCTCTGTTGAGTTCAGAGAGACTGGATTTATTAGATCAGTAAACAGTTTCCTAATAAGTTTATGGTGTTAGTCGCTAGTTTCAAGTCTTCTTCCATACAACATGATGTTCATTTTAAGTTATGGTCCCATTTAGATTAAAATAGACAATATTGCAGGGTATGCTTTTGAGCTTAGTGGGTCTGTCCACAGCAACGCAACTAACTGTCAAACTAGATGCTGATCAAATACGAATCAAGATTCTCTTACTGCATTGCCAATTTCTCGCCTAAAATCAGAGAGAGACACTGGTGCATATACAGTTTTTATTTTATCAGCGCAGGCCAGGTAAAGCTGTCTCTGTCTCTGTCTCTCTC